TAGGGGATCCTAGACATTCTATAGGGGTTCCTACATATTATATAGGAGATCCTAGACATTCTGTAGGGGATTGTATGCATTCTGTAGGGGATCCTACCCATTCTATAGGGGATCCTAGACATTCTATGTGGGATTCTGGACATTCTGTAGGATATCTTACACATTCTTTAGGGGATTCTATACATTCTATAGGGGATTCTACACATTCTATAGGGGATCCTAGATATTTTGTGGGGGATTCTACACATTCTGTAGGGGATCTTACACATTCTATAGGGGATCCTAGACATTCTATGGGGGATCTTACACATCCTATAGGGGTGTACACCTACACATCCTATAGGGGATCTTACACACACCAGTCCCTATAGATCCTATAGGGGATCCTGTACATTCCATAGGGCTCACCTACAGCCAGGCACTGACACACCCTATATATTCTATAGGTGAAAAAAATACATTTTTGGGGGGGGGAAAAAAAGGTGGAATTTTGGGGAAAATCCCTGGAATTTTGAGAAAAAAAAAGGAATTTTTTTGGGGGGGGAAAAAAAAGGATTTTGGGGGGAAATCCTGGAATTTTGGGGAAAAAAAAATCCAGTTTTGGGGGGAAATGGTGGAATTTTGGAAAAAAAATGGAATTTTGGGGGAAAATCCTGGAATTTTAGGAAAAAATCTTGGAATTTTGGGGGAAAATCCGTGGAGCTTGGAATTGTCAGAATTCCGGGATTTTTTGGGAATTTTTTTTCTAAATTTATTTTTTTATTTTTGGGGGGATTTTATTGGGAATTTTGGGGAATTTTTTGGGGATTTTTGGTGAAATTTGGGAGAATTTTTTGGGGATTTTTTTTTTATATTTGGGAAAATATTTGGGGAAATTTTTTTTTGCTAATTTTTGGGGAATTTTGGGGAAAAATTTGGGAATATTTTAGGATTTTTTGATATTTTTTGGGGATTTTTAAAAAACTTTTGGGTGAAATATTTTGGGATTTTTTGGGAAAATTTTTTTTTAATTTTTTGGGGATTTTTTGGGACATTTTGGGAATTTTTGGGGGGATTTTCAGGACCCCTCCCCCAAAGGCGTGGGGGTCTCTCGTGGCCCCTCCACGTAAGAACCGGAGGCAGAAAATTGGGACAAAATTCCCAAAATTTGGGGAAATTCCCGGAATTCCGATGGGAACCGCCCCAGGAACGGAGCCCGACACAAAATTGGGGAAAAAAATTGGATTTTTGGGGCATTTTTGGGATGAAATTGGGGGGTTTTGGGGGAAAATTTTGGGATTTTGGGGGGATTTTGGATGAAATTTTGGGGATTTTTTTGGAATTTGGGCGATTTTTGGGATGAAAATTGGAGGATTTGGATTAAATTTGGGTTTATTGGGGAAATTTTGGGATTTTTTGGAATAAATTTTGGATTTTGGGGGAAAATTTTGGGATTTTTGGGAATAAATTTTGGATTTTGGGGGTAAAATTTTGGGATTTTGGGGCGATTTTGGATGAAATTTTAGGGATTTTCTTGGAATTTGGGCGATTTTTGGGATGAAAATTGGAATATTGGGATGAAATTTGGGTTTATTGGGGAAATTTTGGGATTTTTGGGAATAAATTTTGGGATTTTGGGGGGATTTTGGATGAAATTTTGGGGATTTTTTTGGAATTTGGGCGATTTTTTGATTGAAAATTGAAATATTTGGATTAAATTTGGGTTTTTTGGGGGAAATTTGGGATTTTTGGGAATAAATTTTGGATTTTGGGGTAAAATTTTGGGATTTTGGGGGGATTTTGGATGAAATTTGGGGGATTTTTTTGGATTTTGGGCGATTTTTGGGATGAAAATTGCAATATTTGGATTAAATTTGGGTTTTTTTTGGGGAAATTTTGGGATTTTTGGGAATAAATTTTGGATTTTGGGGGGATTTTGGATGAAATTTTGGGGATTTTTTTGGAATTTGGGCGATTTTTTGATTGAAAATTGAAATATTTGGATTAAATTTGGGTTTTTTGGGGGAAATTTTGGGATTTTGGATGAAATTTGGGAATTTTGGGATGAAATTTGGGGATTTTTGGGAATGAATTTCGAATTTTGGGATGAAATCTTCAAGATGTGGGAGATTTTGGGGATGAAAATTGGAATTTTTTTAATTTTTGGATAAAATTTTGGGGAATTTTTGATAAAATTTTGAATTTTTTGGGGATGTTTGGATAAAATTTTGGAATTTTTGGGATGAAATTTGGGATTTTTGGGATGAAATTTGGGTTTTTTTGATAAAATCCAGGATTTTTTTGGAAAAATTCCAGGAATTTTTTGGTCAATTTGGGTTGAAATTCTGGGATTTTGGGAAATTTGGGGGAATTGGATGAAAACTTCAAATTTTTGGGGACGAATTTTGGGGTAAATGTCAAGATTTTTTATTAATTTGGGGGAAATTTTGTATGAAATTTGGGAATTTTGTGGAATTTTGGGATAAATTTTGGGATAAATTTTGGGTCTCTCCCCCCATAGGTCGAAGCCACCGAGGGACAAAATCTGGAGTAAAAAAATCGGAATTTTGGGGCTTTTTTTTTGGGTTTTTTTAGGGAATTTTGGTGCTTTTTTAGGGAATATTTGGGATTTTTTTTTTTGCATTTTTTGGGGCTTTTTTAGAGCTTTTAAAGGGATTTTTGTTCAATTTTTTTCAGCCTTTTTGGGGCTTTTTTGGAGATTTTTTTTCTCTTTTAAACCTTAATAAAGTTTTCCATTTAAATTTATTTAAATCAATCCTTTCTTTCCCTCCAAAATTCCCAATTTCCCCCCCAAAAATCCCCAAATTTCCCCCCAAAAAATCCCTTTTCCACCCCAAAATTCCCTCTTCCACCCCAAAAAAAAATCCCCTTTTTTTCCCTCTGTAATTCCTGGGATTTTCCCCAAAAAATTCCCGCCTTTCCCCCCCAAAATTCCCAATTTTTTTCCCCGGGAATGACGCAAAATCCGTGACTCAAAATTCAGGAATTTCCCCAACCCCGCGCCGAGTGGGCGTGGCCACCCACAAACCCCGCCCCCCTCCGCTCTCCACCAATCAACTCTCACCGTGGGCGTGGCCTCCACCCCCTGTTATAACCCCGAGGCCGCGGGTTCGAATCCCGGCATTTCCTTTTCAACATGTCGATGGTAGCGGCGGTCGCGGCCACCGCGAGGTGTCCGGGACGGATTTGGGGACATCCCGAGGGTGTCCCCAAGGGGGTGGCACCGTCCCCACCTCGTCACTTCACCTTCGAACCCCTCCCGCCGCCCCCCGGCCCCTCCAGGCCTCGGCGGCGGCATCGGCGCGTTCTTTATCCGCCCGCTGTGAGTATGGGAAGGATTTTTTGGGGTTTTTTTTTAGTGGGGTTTTGCCTGAATTTGGAGATTTTGGGGTGGTTTGGGTCATTCTGTATCCCTTATGTCCCCTATAGATATCCGAAGTCGCCTATAGCCTCGCTTAAACCCCCCTGGACTCGCCCAAATTCGCCAAAAACTTGTAAAATTTGTCCAAAACTTCTAAATTTTGCCCCAAACTTCCTCCAAACTCGCCTCAAACTTCTAAAATTTGCCCTAAATTTCCCAAACTCGCCGCGATCTCCCTCAAAAAGGCCCTGAACCCCCTCAGATCTGCCCTAAACCTCCCTCAGTTTCTCAAACTCGCCCTAAACCCCCCCAAACTCGCCCTAAATCCCCCAAAAACTCGTCCTAACCCCCCAAATTCGCCCAATGCCCCAAAATATAAATTATTTATCCCAAGGGGTGTTAATTCCCCCAAACCCTTTGTGAAGCTAAGCAGGGTCCACCAGGGTCACCCCTTGGATGGGTTCCCCAACCCACCTTTCCCCATCTCTAATCCCACCTCCCACACTTTTCCCACTGGGAATTTTCCCCAAAATTCTGGGGATTTTCCCCGAAATTCCGGTAATTTTCCCCGAAATTCCGGGAATTTCCCCCATCCCGGTGATCCCTGACCCCAATTTCGGATTTTTTTCCCCTTTCCAGGTGCGTCGCCCCCTCCCCTCGGAAGAACCCAGCGCCGCCAAGCGACTCCTGCTGCTCCTCTTGGCCGTGGTGGGCACCCAAATCTACAACGCGCCGGGTGACGTCGCCGACGTCACCTTGGGGGGCACAAGGACACCCCTGGGGACACCCCCAATCCCAGAGGGACCCCAAATTCCCGCCGGGAACGCCAACGGGACGACGGTGGCGGCACCCGTGGGTGGCTCCTGCCCCTCGTTGTTGGTGTCACCTCCTTTGTCACCGCCGTTGTCGCCCCCTGCTGGCACCAGGACACGATAAGGACCCCCCCCAAAACTGGGGGGCGTCGCCCAGGACTGCCACGCCCTCCGGGATTAATTAACGAGGTCGTTAATTAAGGTCAAAGAGCTCTGGGTTGGAAGAAAGCGCCGATGTTGGACGATCCCAGTTTGGAACTGGGAGGACTGGAAAGGGGCGGAGTCATGGATTGAGGGGGGGGTTTCCCATTCCCTAACTAATTAGCTGGTTAATTAACAGCTAATTAATGAGCAGCTCATTAATTAGCTACCAATTAAGGTGGGAACAAGCCCCATGCTGGAATTTTGAGGTTGCCCAATCCCAGTTTGGCACTGGGAGCACTGGAAAGGGGCGTGGTCGGGTTGGCCTCGCTAACGAGGTTTTAATTAATGAGGTCACCTCTACCTCAGCTTCAGCGCCTGTGGCTGCTGAGTTTATTAATGAATTATTACTAATTATTTATTTGCTATTTATTTATTATTTATTTGTCACTATTTATTTGCTACTATTTATTAATTATTTATTGATTAATTATCTCTGGATTATTTATTGCGATCCCATTTCAGGGGCATTGTTTAATGATTAAATTAATTAAACTCATCAGTTGAATTAATTAACGGGAGTTGTGTCTTTACTGAAATTTCCTGTGGTCAGAATGGGGGGAAAATTATGGAAAAATCCCAATTTTTGGCCATTTTATCATTAAATTTTAATGGAAAAAAAAGAGAAAATCCCAATTTTTGGCATTTTCAGCCCAAGTCGGATTTTTATTGACCCGACACGGAGAATACAAAGTCACAAAAGTAACAAAAAACCAAAAAAAAAAATCCATTTTTTATTTTAAAAAAGAAGAAAAAAAAGGTAAAAAGAGTTTGTTCCCATTTTTTGGGAAAAGCAAAAAAAAATCGAAAGGAAAATCCAATTTTTCCTCTCAAACCCACATTTGGTGGCGCTCATGACCCAAATTTGGGATTTTTTTCCCAAATTCTGGGGTTTTTCCCCAAATTTTGAGTTTTTCACCCAAACTTCATAAATTTTTTTCCCAAATTTTTAAGGTCTTTCCCCAATTTTTTAAGGTTTTTCTCATCAATTTTTGAGCTTTTTGGATTTTAGATGTTTTTCCCAAATTTTGATATTTTTCCCAACTTTGGGGTTTTTTCCCCAATTTTGTGGGTTTTTTTCCAGTTTCTTTTTGTTTTTTTCCCAATTTTTGGGGGTTTTTTTTTCCAATTTTTTGGTTTTTTCCCAAATTTTGGGGTTTTTTTCCCCAAATTTAGGAACTGGAAGATTGGAAAAAGCCCCCAGTGGCACCGGGAACGCCGGGAACCCACCGGAACCATGGGAATCCCCCATCTCCCCCCTTTAATTACCCAACCAACCCCCCACCCCTAATTAACCACCTCCCTAATTACCCACCGGAAACCCCGGGAACGCCCGGCCCGGCAACGCCAACGCCCAGGGCAGCTCCAACGCCGCCGGCACGGCCGAGGAGCCCGGGAACGCTGGGAAGGCCGAGGACGAGGAGGAGGAAGAGAAGGACGAAGAAGAAGAAGAGAAGGACGAGGAAGAGAAGGAGGAAGAGGAGGCCGGGAAGGAAGAGGAAGAGGCGGCGGCGGCGGCTTTGCCGTGGGTGCGCTGGTGCCGGTTGAGGTGCGAGCTGCGGCTGAAGCACTTCCCGCACTCGGGGCACTTGTAGGGCTTCTCGCCGGTGTGGACGCGCCGGTGGATGGTGAGCTCGGAGCGCTGGATGAAGCTCTTGCCGCACTCGGAGCACTGGAAGGGTTTCTCGCCCAGATGCGTCCTCTGGTGGGTCAAGAGGTTGGAGGAGACGCTGAAGCACTTGCCGCACTCCTGGCACTTGTAGGGTTTCTCGCCGGTGTGCATCCGCCGGTGTTTGGTGAGGTCGGATTTTTGGATGAAGCCTTTGGAGCAATCGGGGCATTTGTAGGGTTTCTCGCCGGTGTGGATGCGCCGGTGTTTCACCAGCGCCGAGCGCTGCCCGAAGCTTTTCCCGCATTCCTGGCACTTGTACGGCTTCTCCGGCGCCGTTTCCGGTTGCCGCCCGCAATCCTGGCACAACCCCCGGCTTTTCCCGCAATCCAGGCATTTCGGCGCCGCCGGTTCGGCGCCGCCGCCGGTGCCGTGAGAGCGTTGATGCTTCAACAACGCCGCGCCTTGACCGAAACACCGCCCGCACTGCCCGCACTGGAAGAGCCTCCCGTGCCGGTGAGCCGCCAAAAACCCGGCCAGGTGCTCCGGACACCGGTACGAGGCGCGTTCGGCCGCGTGGATTTTTCGGTGCCGGTCCAGGTGCGAGCTGACGCTGAAACTCTTGCCGCACTCGCCGCAGGAGTACGGCCGCTCGCCGGTGTGGACGCGCTGGTGCCGCTCCAGGTCGGAGCGTTGGATGAAGCCTTTGCCGCAGTCGCCGCAGGCGAACGGGCGCTCGCCGGTGTGGATGCGCCGGTGCTGCGTCAGGTTGGAGCCGCGGCTGAAGCTCTTGCCGCAGTCGCCGCAGCGGTGCGGCCGCTCGCCCGTGTGCGTCTTGCGGTGTTTCGCCAGCGCCGAGCGTTGCCCGAAGCTCTTCCCGCAATCCAGGCAGCAATACGGCGCCGATTCCGCCGCGGCCGCCGGCATTTTGGTTTTGGCGCGGGGCTGCTCGGGCGGTCCCGGCCCGCCGGCGTGAGTGCGGCGGTGCCGGTCCAGGTGGGAGCTGACGCTGAAGCGTTTGCCGCAGTCGCCGCACGCGATTGGGTCAATATTGACCATTGACATTGGCCATGGACTGGTCAACCCCAAAATTCCCAAGAAACCCCAAATTTTTAATGGAATTCCATGGATTGAATTGACGTTGATCGTTGACCATTAACCTTGGCCATGGATCCGTTGACTCCCAAAATTCCCAAAAAACCCCAAATTTTTCCATGGAATTCCATGGATTAGGTCGACGTTGACCATTGACCTTGGTCATGGATCCGTTGACCCCAAAATTCCCCAAAAAAACCCCAAATTTTTCCATGGAATTCCATGGATTAGGTCGACGTTGACCATTGACCTTGGTCATGGATCCGTTGACCCCAAAATTCCCCAAAATAACCCCAAATTTTTCCATGGAAATCCATGGATTGGGTTGATGTTGACCATTGGACTGGTCGACCCCAAAATTCCCAAAAAAACTCAAATTCTTTGGGAACAATCAGGTTTTTTGGAGAAAAACACGGTTTTTTAGGGAATTTTTTGGGAAAACCAATTTTTTGGGCTTTTTTTTGGAAATACTCTTTTTTTGGGGGGAATTTTTTGGGAAAACCCTTTTTTTTGGCAATTTTTATGGGAAAATCCCATTTTTTTGGGGAGTTTTTTTGGAAAACCCCTTTTTTTGGAAAAAACCCCATATTTGGGTGGGAATTCTTTTCGGAAAACCCTTTTTTAAAAAAATTTTTTGGGAACAACCCATTATTTTGGGGAATTTTTTTGGAAAAACCCATTTTTTGGGGAATTTTTTGAGAAATACCCATTTTTTGGCGGGAATCTTTTAGCAAAAACCAATTTTTTTTTGGGAAAACCCATTTTTTTTGGAAATTCTTTTGGAAATACCCCATTTTTTCTGGGAAATTTCTTGGGAAAACCCCATTTTTTTGGAATTTTTTTTGGGAAAACCCCCCCCAAACTCACCCTCATCTTTGGCCACCCTCCTCCGGTTCCGGCGTTTTCCGGCCTGGCCCTGCTCCCGCACCAATTCCCGAAGCATTTTCTCCACCTGGCTCCTCCCGGCCGTCTGCAGGATCAGCCCCAGCTGCCGGCGCAGATCCGGCTCCGCCCCTCCCCCATCGCCCGAGACCCCCAGGGGAGGGGGCGGCGCCGGGGGGGGG